CACTTTTTTTACGTTTTTCTTCTTCATTGTCTTCTGTGGAGGCTAAGGAAAATAAATGTAACAATCAGTTTTAAAATTACATTTAAATGTCTTTAGATTTAATAGATGAGGACATTTTTAAAGTGTCAGATAGTTGATGGAATCACAAAGTACAATATTATTTAAACATGCCAGTATTAAACAGAAATGACTGCTACTGCTTTGACCTCTAACAATCAAAGCCATGAGGCCAATCAAATTATCTTCACTTAATTATAGAAATATTAATAAAAATGTTACATTTATTAACTAAATATGTGAGTGATCTTCACAGTAAGAGTTTTTTTTCAGGCCTTATTTTCACTTATACCGCTTGTGAAAAAGTTGTGTTTATTACTGTGAAGATCACTATTATATTAACTTATTAATCTGCAATTCACGTATATGGCATTCATGTAGAATTTATTGATTATAAAATGGATGAAATATTACATTAATAAAATAGCTAAAATATTCTTTCAACTCCAAAGCTGTCAGCCACGAATTTCCTCAGGATAAAATCAAACAAGAGTAACTTCTTTTAAACTTCCTCACAGTGGAAAAGCAGACTAAATCATGCGGTTAGGTTTATGTGTACTCCATATTTTGTAGACTTTTCTTTTCCCATAAAATGGTTGGTTCAAATAGAAAGAGCCCAACATTTCTAGTAACACAAATGAATAAAGGCTGATAGTTTCGAAAGAAACTGTTTGGGGCTGCGTTGGTGGGAGTAACGAAATAATTTGGATACATCAACAAAGTTGAAAAGGTAAATTGGCCACCGTAATGATTACAAAAGCTGACGTTTCGAGTGTTAGCCCTTCGTCGGAGCGAATAGAGGAATTGTGGGTTGTGTGTGCTTTTAAAGGCAGAAAATGTGCTTTTGTAATCGTTATGGTGGCCAATTTACCATTTCAACTTTGTTGATATATCCAAATTATTTATAGTAACAGCCACTCGATAACCCAACTAAAACTGCTGTTGAACTGTGCATTGGACAAGGGTTCCTTGCAATATGTCAGTGTCAGGGCTGACCAAAAAAGTTACTCCTCACAATTAAATCAATACATTTTCAAGCAGAAAAGTGATGAAAAGACAGAAAAATCAACTAGGGCATGTTTCTTCATTTCATACCAAATTCTAAAAAATAAAAATTCAAAGACATGTACACTAAACAGCACAATAAATTGATTTTTAGCTCTTGGGGGTGAAGGTTTGTGAGAACATTTTACATTCCATTTCAAAACATAACCTCCTGATCCTTCTCAAAACACTCCCATTGATTGTTCGACATTGGATAAAACCATCTTGTATTCCCTTGGCACTTTAATACTCTCTTTTCCATCTTTACATGTGCTGTCTTTGCCATCTTTGTTAGAGTTGTCATCCTTATTTGCCAATGCATCTGACAGATTAAATGCCACCTTAAAACATGGAGCCAAAATGGTTAAAAAATCACTGCTGAGCACTTCACTTACCAACAATATGGGAGGACACAAAGATATATTAGTTAAACATTTTCATGCTTACAAGACAACTTGAGGTTTGAAGATTGATCATTTGTGTTCTTTCAAAGTAGTTTGTACCGTTCTTGAAACTCGCCTAATATACATATCAACTTCCTTTACAAGGTGCCTCTCTTTCCCTACTCAAGAGAACAAGGGCTAAGAAGGGGTAACCTGTGGATGAGTGGGATACGAAAAAGAAAGAAACTTTTGGTTGCATAAATGTTTCACACAAATAAGCATACTCATTCCATTTTTCAGACTCCTAAAACAGGGTTTACAAATTGAGCTGGCGCCCTGCAAAAGTCACCAGCTATTTCAATTATTTGCGATGGGTACTTTTTGTATTCCAACACCCCACCTCACAAGGCCGCCGTTATTGCAATGAGATAGTGCTCTGGCTACTATACAGTTTCCTTCTACTACTTTTTTTTCAATTTGAAAACCCTGCTAAAACTCATTAACAAGATACTGTAAGTGCTTCAAACATATTTGTACAAAATATTCTTTATCATTATGGTTATCGTCATTACCTATTGTTATGTAATAAGGTTATAACCGAAAAAAAAATGGATTAATTAACTAGACAATTTACCACATACCTCATTTCTTTGGGGATTGCTGTTGATAAAAGAAGCTTTTTCATAAATTTTGAAGCAAGATGTGTTTTGTTGTTATTATATTCATAATGTTCAATAAACTAGTCTCCATTTGGCATAAAAGATATGTAAGGCCATCGTACCTAGACATTATCAATTCTAAGAGTGAGCTCAAAGAAAACTGTGACCTAATCAAGACACAGATTTGTTCAAGGACAAATGTAAGGGTATACTTTCTCTTGCCAAGTGCCATCAAATATTTTTGCAACATGTGTGAAAAATGTCTATAAACACCTTACTGTTTTCTGTGTGAGATGTTTACTTTCCAGTGTTCTCTAGGACTAAGTAAAGAGTGACCAGAACTGCTTATTTTAATAGCTGGGGTGACCTTTTATTAGAGGTGAAAATTACAGTGATTAAGGGGAAACAGATTCGGGATTTTGACAACTGACCACTTGTTACGAGGTGAATGATGATAATATGGTGCCACTTAAAACAGGTTCAACTGCACTATCTTCATAAATATGTCCCTTATTTTGTAATAACTTTAAATGCTATCTCATCTTGAATTAGATTCTAAACAAAGATTAAAGTGAACAGACGGCTTGAAAGTATCACTCCAGGTATATCAATAGTTATAACCCACCCATTAATTTTGGCACAATTTTATTGTTTACTTTACCTCAAGTGGTGCAAAATCACAGGGCAGTTATCATGCAATAACCCCCATCCGCATCGATATTTGTCCTCCAATTTTTTCCGCGAAAAAGAAACACAGTCAACACAAGAGTTTCAACTTTTCTGTTCTCCTATTTACATGGAAGGAAACCGAACTAATTTTTTTTTCTTGCTTGCGTCAATCATGTGCATTCGCCATCAGATCACCACTGACTTTTTTACTGTGTTTATGGGCAGTTTAATTGTGATGTCAAAATTAATGGGAGGGTTATAAAATAAATAAACCCTGTTCTGGCTTGCTGGTATGTTGCCTGATAATGTCCTTGGCTGAGAGATTGTCCTCAAAATTTCATATTTGCCCTCGAAGCTTCGCTTCTCGGCCAAATATTCCTTTTTCAGACAATCTCTCAGCCGCGGACATTATCAGCCAACATACCAGCCACCCGAAGGGCTTTATTTACTAAATATTCTACAGTTCTAGCTGGGGTATATTCAGTTATGTGATGCCTTTAGACCAGTTGTGTGTGAGCGAAATTGTTACTGGTTAATTGAATAGTTGAATAGTTGAATAGTTAATTTAGGCCAATCAGGAGTCGTTTGCAGTTATTCATTTAAAACGGGGAGAAACCATGTGATGGATTAGCATCCCATCCAGGGGGAAGGGAGAGTAGAAATATTTGGTCGCTTAGGCTGTATGGGCTACTGGTTTGACGCAGACTTTTTTTATTTCTAATACGTGCACCTCCATGAACAGCACCGGTGAGTGTTTTTTTGTTTTTTGGGACCCTCAGAGAAAAATTTCGTATTAAATTATCTAATTAAGTTGTGAATTTACCATCAATTTTTAATCATCAATTTACTTATTTATTTATTATTTTACTTTTATTTTTTAACTTTATTATTTTTTCGCTCATTCCTGGAATTCCTGGAATTCCCGGTATTCCGAGTATTCCGGGTATTCCGGGTATTCCGAGTATTCCGGTATTCCGGCATTCCAGAGTTTCCAAACTACCATCATTTTTTAAAAGTCGCTTAACGTATTTTGTAAACATAACATCCTCAGGAATGTTAAGCGAAACAACCGGCGTCGTGAAAACACGGTCAATATTTCATTTTCTAGCGGCTGTGATTTGCATCATCAAAGACAAAAACAAAACTAAGTGACTGTAATTCGGTTTGGTACGTAACACTTTATATCTAAAGATGGATTTGAGAATTCAAAAATTTAAACATTTTAATCTGTTCTATATGTAACGCCAGGCTTCAATACGTTCATTCCTTTGGAAGGTTGGATTTGCTGATCATGGTACAGTGTAAGCCCCTGTCTTAAAACGGTAAGCTATCTGTGCGTGAAAATTGACTCATTGTCTTCATCAACTTTTCATTTTCTTGCAGGTGTGATTTTAATGATTGAAGACAAAAATACTCTCTTATATAATAGATAAGAAAAACGGACGGAGTTGATCGGTGATTTGCTCTAAAATAGCCACATTGCTGGTCTCATCCTAGAAGATGTTAATCCAGTGTCTGAATTATGGTAACAAGCAGATGACATTAGGGAGAGGATCTGGCTTGACTCTCAGTAATCAACAATTTAGACTTCTAGGGAGGGGAGAGAAGGGGGGAATGAACCTGGACAACATTTATGTTGAAGGATCCGTGCACCCGGAAGACACTCTCCTTGAAACGCGCAACGGCAATTCCCGCGGGTTTTACCTTTTTGTTTCCTCTTTTCCTGAAACAACTGCAAGAAACTTGCAATTACAAAGCACTAACACCGAGTGATCACATGTGATGAAAATAACTCAATATGGCAAAGGTTCTTCCTTGCCTTCGAAAAATTACCGGCATACAATTGCAGCTTGAGAAGCTGCGACTGCATTGTTTCCCGTTTATTTTAGCATTTTTGTTGCCCACATATAACGGATCTATTCTTAGCTGATGTGCAAGTTGGACAAGATGTAATGCCTCAAAGGTTTGACGAAGTCCAGCTTTTTGACAACTGATTACACTGATTACAATCCGGTGGCGATTTATTCACAACATGATGACTTCAGTTATAGTTACAGGACAGCACGAAACAGCATGCACTTGGTTTTCGAGATTAAAAAGTTACTTATGCTACAAGTAACCGTAAAGTTAAAGCTAGCTGATACTTTTTAAAGTGAAACGACAAAAACAATAAACATTAGTCGGCACTTTTTCCTACATTCCAAAATCAGGCCAACCCATGCCATGATTGTTAAATGTTTTGTTACGCGGAAGCGCCGATAAAAACTTCAAAACATCTTGGCTAATATTAAAACCACATAATACGATTCTACACCTTTTTTATTTTTAAAAGAAAGATAAACCGGCGTTTCGGTTGAAAGTTTTGCACTGAGTTATCTAATTCACAAAAGACGGTTTGTCCTATGACGTGACGGATATCAAAATATTGTAATCCCCTTTATTCCGCATTTATGCAGGCATTTAACGATGAGTTTGTGAAATAGCAATGACCAAATATCTACATTAAGAGCGAATGTTGTTTGAATGCATTTTAGAGCCAAACAAAACATCCCAACCAATTTAACGGCTGTGGTAAATAAACTACTTTCATTTGAAAAGTAAGCGCAGTGATCAGGTACACTTCATTCAGTTCCTCAAAGAGAATAGGGACCTTAAGATACCCTGGACACGGCCCAGGACGAAGTCAACCAGAAGCATTTATGCAGGCATTTAACTATGAGTTTGTGAAAATAGCAATGACAAAATATTTACATTAAGAGCGAATGTTGTTTGAATTCATTTTATAGCCTAACAGAACATCCCAACCAATTTAACGGCTGTGGTACATAAACTACTTTCATTTGAAGAGTGAGCGCAGTGATCAGTATACTACACTTCCGTCAGTTCCTACAGAGAATATCTCATCTTTAGTCGTGAGCACGCGGTGTCAAAGACTGACTTATCTTCTCATGCGAGACCTTGATACTTTCACAAAAAGAGAACGAGGTCACAATAGTTTATTAATTAAAATTATGGCCGCTGGAAAAATCCACGGATTGTGACACTGAGAATATCGTCTGACATCAGTTAGCGACAGTCCGCATCATAAATATGCCTTAATATAGCATTGATCTTATCTTTTGATCAGGTGATTGTGGAAACCATCACTTTCTGAAATTGATCGATGCAAATGAGGTTGAAATATAAACATAGTGAAAGCCCGGAAGGTTGGAAGAAAGCAATTGATCCAGTTTAACGGTGGAGATATGAAGCATTTGTGCAACGGAAAAGTACACTCATATCATTAAATTTAAGCAAGTTTCAGTTTCTAAAAGGAAATTAAAACATCTCTCCAAGTAAGCGTGCAGTTTCTTAGACTGACTTACGTACTTTTGCGAAATTCAGGCGCTTTAACAGACAGAGATACCGATTACGCTCTCTACAAAAAATTGTACCGTAGCTGAGAACCGATTTCAGTTGAGGGTATCTCGGTTATATAACACATGTTTACATGTGGGAAACAAACTTCAATTCGTGTTTACCAAGATATTTACAGGTTACGGTCAATGACAGACGCAGATCATAGCTACTGGCAAACCATCTAATGAAGCACCGCGGATTTCCTATAAATATCAGCGAGGGACAGTCAACGTTATAAATAGGTCTGATGTTAGTTTTTTGATATCATTATTTCGAATTGAACCATACTCAATGACCTTAGCTAATGAGAATGACTGCCAATTGTTAATTATAGGGTACAAAGCCACTCAGGTTTGAAAAAGTCGCTATGGAACGATATAATCTCACCGTGTCGGCGATTTTCCACAGCGTGGCATAACTACTAGGGCTCACACAAAGCAGTTACTGGGCTTTTCAAAGAGAGCTTTACTCCTTCAAAGTTCCTAAAATAAGTATAGCAGATAAAAACGGAGTGACTATGAAAGATTATCGATCGCACTTACCAAAATGCTGACGAAGTGGCTGAGGTTTTCAAAATGAAACAACTGCAAATAATGATTTGCAGTCAGGACTTTTCCCAACTTTCCAAAACTTCCGCTGTCAAAGTGTTTTGGGGATCTAGGCCACTTGTGTTTCGTTGTCTTAAATTTTTCATTTTCTAGCGGGTGTAACATATCATCGAAGACAAAAATACTAGCAAAACTAAGTGGCTGTTTTTCATTTTGGCATATAACACTTTTCTAACTAATGATAGATTTGAGCATTTAAAAAAATGAGACAATTTAATCTGTTTTACATGAAACGTCAGGCTTCAACACGTTTATCCCTTTGGAAGGTTGGATTTGCTGATCATGGTACGACTGAAGATCCTGTCTTAAAACGGTTAGCTATCTGGGCGTGAAAATTGACACGTTGTCTTCATGAACTTTTCGTTTTCTTGCAGATGTGATTTGCACGGATGGAAGACAAAAATAGTCACTGATATAATAGATAAGACTGAAAAACGAACGGAGTGGATCGGTAATTTGTTCTAAAGTTTAATTCTAATCGTTAATGGAACGTTAGCTCAGTGAGATCTCTCCTGCCAAACTGTTTTTGGCGAAGCTTATAAATAAATAAATAAAAATAAATAAAATAGCCGCATTACTGGTTTTAACTTTTAAGGCGTTAATCCAGAGCCTTAAATAGCGAGAGGATCTAGCTTGACCCTCAGTAATAATCAACATGTGATACTTCTTTTAGGGAGGGGAGGGAGGTGGGGGAAATGGACCTGGACCACGTTTATGTTGTGGGATCCGTGCACTAAGGGAGTATCTTTCAGGTTAGAGGCAACTGCAAGAAACTTGCAATTAGAAAGCACTAACACAGAGTGATCATATAAGCGATAAGAGTTCTATATGGTATAGGTTCTTCCTTGTCTTTGAAAAATAACCGGCAAGCTTGACAAGCTTGCTTCTCGTTTGTTTTAACATTTTTATTGCTCCCACATAACATAAAAAAAAAAAATTAATTATCTACACACGATTGAATTTTGTTGTCTTCGATGTCAATATTACCTCATTTTTCAGAATTCGTGGAAATTTCATTTTCCAAGGCTACATGGCCAAAGCCAAAGGCGACATAAAAAATGTAAAATCTTTAAATCCTTGTTCTCCAATGACCGCTTTGGATGCCACCTCCCCCCTTAAGTATTAAAAAGTGTTTACCGCAAATTGGTTATTATTTGAAGGAAAAATAAAAGCTGTGATCAAAAGTATTTAACAAAATCACTGACAATGTTTGCTAGGAACTGATCAAATTCATATATATTCGAGTAGAAAATCAAAAGGTTCTATTTTTTTCCCTTAAGTGATTCACCATAAACGAGACAGGAATGAATGATTCTTATTTCACAAATTTTCAATACAAATCATTAGAAATATATCTCTAATCTTAGAGAAGATAACGAGGGTTAAACTGGCCAGTTTTTATACAACTTCCTAAAATTCAAAACGGAAATTGAACACTTCGGGAGAATGAATGAAATTCCATCACTGAAAGGAAGATACGGAGAATTATCCAGCAGTTTACTTAGAAGATTTAATGTTCCAACTCAAGTAAATATATTTCGGTTTTGTACCTCACACTGTCATAACTAATGGTGGATTTGAACATGCTAAAATTATCAATGCTATTCTTTTGAACAGGATCCCTCAGGCCTCAGTGTTCATCGCCTCGGAAAGTTGGATTTTCATTTTAAGATCGATAACAGTACAGCTGAAGCCTATTTCTTTAATTAATCTAAACTGTAAGCTATCTGTGCGCGATAATAAATTCTTCATGAACTGTTATGGAGAGCTTATCTGCAGTTGACTTCAATATCACGAAATCTATTTCGGTTTTTACTTCACACTTTTCTGGCTTCTGATGGAATTGAGCATGCAAAAATGAAAAATGATATCCAGAGTTTTGAATACAGAATGTCAGGCTTCACTAGTTATCCCTTTCACCACAAGATCGATCACCCTACAGCTTATGCTTTTTTCGTAAAACGGTAAATTATCTGTGCGCGATAATCAACTCATTATCTTTGTGATTTTTTCATTTTCTAGCGGGTGTGATTTGCATGATAAAAGACAAAAATACTAACTGTTATAAAAGAATTGATAGTT